CCATCGAGACGCAAATCACAACATCGAGGCCGACGCAGGCCGCGTGCTGTCGGCGGAGCCTAGCGGGATATACACATCGGGCCGGCGCACGTCCTGAGGGTAATCGAAGCTCGGAGGGGGGATGAGACCACCCCGCAGGGCGTTGGAAAAGACTGGTCGAACGAGTCCCACAAGCCTGCAACAGCACGTGACCTGCATGCTGCTTGAAGGACGCGCTGGACGCGTTCGGCCGCAGGGGGTCGGCGCTTCGCGCCCCTGCGGGTGACCGTCACGATGCGTGCAAGATCCGGCGCTGAGACGCGAGGTAAGGGATGGCCAGGCTCTCCGAGATGGTCGGAGGTTGCGAACATCCTCGCAGACGCTCGGCTGGTGCTTTGGGGTCTCTGGACGCTCCCAGGGGCATCCTGCAGTGGGGGAAGAATGTGGGGGGAGGGCATCGGGGCACGAGACGTGCTGGAACGATGCACGCCTCAGTCGAAGCTCAACGTAAGGGACAAAGAAGGCCCCAGCCGAATCCTGAGGCAGCCCCAAGAGGCCACCAAGAGGACCCCCGAGTGGGCCGCTCTTTGGGGCTGTCCGAAGTGACCCCTCCTTCGGCGTGACAGGCGTTCCTCCTCTGCGCTTCACGCTCCTCGCCCGCTCCTCCGCTCCCCTTCACAGGACAACGTTGCAATTGTCAGATGCCGAACCTGCTGAGCGCAGAAGCTGCCAGTCGTGGAGTGCTCACCCCATCATGGGGGCCAGAGCGGGGGCACGAAGATGTAGATTGCCCCGGGTGACGAGCTTTCTAGCCATACCCAGTCTCCTCCTGGCACCCAAGAGTGGGGAGCAACAGCATTGGTATGAAGAACGTGGATCGCCGATGGTGGGGCCACGCGAAGCGTCCATGGGCGTATTGCGATCGTTTTCTTAGTCCTTGTCTTGCCGATCGGCGCGGGCCCTCGCGCCCCCCCCCTCCCCCCCCAAATGGAGTAGATCTTGGCTGTTTCTGGCGCCTGTTTCGAGCGGGTGGAGCCTCCCCCGTAAGACGCACTGCTGCAAACGGTCGCACTATAAGCAGAGATCCGAAGCCAGACCACCCCCCTCCCCCCCCCCTTCCGCCCAATGTCGAAACGCCGAATAAGAAAACGCTCACAATGCTGAGGATGTGGAGCAGTTCCCAAGGCACGGATCCCACAGGAGAAACTTTTCGGCGGGTTTCGAATCACGTGTCTCGAAGTGCGGACGGCGGGGTCGGTGTTTACAGCACCTTCGCGCCTGTGGACAACCTGTTGCCACGCTGCACGTATCTGAGGAGCGAGGCGTTGCGAGTGGAGACGTGAGTGGAGACGTAGGAGGGACGATGGAACAGGCAAAAGGACAAGGAAGAACAACAGGGTTAGAAATATAGGGATGAGGGGAGGAGAAAGAGGGGAATGGAGCGGGGAGGCGGATGGAGGATGAGCGGTGAGGAGAGAGGCAACAACAAAGAACGGTGTCCTCTGCAAACGTACTGGCCGCAAGCGACATGGCACGCCTGAGGAATGGCCGGGATGCAACCAGCTCATGTTCCGATTGACTGCGACATGCTCTGACCTGAATCGTGGGAGGCCCAATTGAGACCACGGCGACTCTCCCGCCTGGCTCAAATCCGCTGAAAATTGGTCGACAGACCAGACCCCTCTGGGGGTCCATCCTGACGGGTGTTTCGAGGCGGATGCAGCCGTGGCGACGAGAAACCTCCAGGAGGCCTAAGAGGGGCACTACAAAGCATGGAGTGCCGCCGTTGTCTCGACTGGCCCTCCTCTGACTGAGGCGTCTCTTTTATGACCGAACGAGCCAGCCTCTGTGCAAAGACTGAACACCGGCAGCTATAGACCACCAAGCCCTTGCCGGCCGCACGCGTGGCCATCGGCTAACGTGTGGACTGTCCTGGCCCGGACCAGGATCTACCCGAGGGGCCGCTGGAAAGTGCATGCCCCTTCGGTGGCACGTCGGGTAGAACCTTTTCAGTCGCCCTGGAGAGGCAACCCCGATGGTAGAAGCACCTATACCTCATACCGTTTTCCGTCCGCTCATGCCCACATGGTACCAGAGGCCTCCCAGACGGGGTCTGAGTAGAAGGGGTCGGAGGATCGCGCCGCATCATCGATGCATCGGCGACGTCGGCGATGCATCGGCGACGCCGGCTAGGAGAAAGTCTGACTCCGCACCGACTCGTATCGCTGATGCATCGGCGATGTGGCGCGATCCTCCGACTCCATCTGCTCTGACACCATCTGGGAGGCCTACGCATGCACCGATCAGATGCCCACGGTAGGCTTGGCTGGCGGTGGTGCGTAGCTGCCTGTTGTCGACAGTGGTCACGAGCGGCGAACATATCCGCATCCGCGCCCTCGCGGTCTGGATCCTGGGGCGCCATCCCACGGAGACGCTATCGCACGGACACGTTCCGCGCGGGACACCCGCGAAAAAACAACCCGTACCTTGGGGGTCGCAACCCAAGGGCTCTGCTTTGGACGCCCGAAATGGGCACGGAAAGAATGGGTATAATGCCCAACAACAATTGTTGTCCCAAACCAACAGCGGCCGCTGTTGGGCAGGCTGCCTTCTGTCTCGAATGGGCACAGGCCGCGGCGGCGTGGACAGCGAGTCCTGTTCAAAATTGACCAAATCCGCTGTTGGGCATTGTGCCCATTCTTTCCGTGCCCATTTCGGTCCTCCTCCTCCTCCTCCTCCTCCTCCTCCTCCTCCTCCCCCTCCCCCTCCCCCTCCTCCTCCCCCTCCTCCTCCTCCTCCTCCTCCTCCTCCTCCTCCTCCTCCTCCTCCTCCTCCTCCTCCCCTCGCCCCCACGCGGATCTGCCAGCGAGACCGCGGACACGGACGATGTTCTCGCCACGGGCAATCTCGGAGGAGAAGCACGGGCCACCGCCAACGAATCTCCACCAACGGGGCGCCGGCGCCTGGGCGGGGTCGCACGCCCGAGCCGTCATCTCCCAAGACCGGCTGGCGCTCCAGCGGTGCCGCCGCCCAGGGGCTCGCCATCGCTCGGACGTCCATCCCCTGTGCTTTGTTCGGCTTCGTGCGTGTTTTTACCTAACAGCGAAGACTGATAGGTTTCTAATGGGGTCAAAAGAGAGCATCTGATGACTCTCCAGGGGGGTCTGGGCGGGAGCCGGACAGGCGAGGGCCGGGCTCGTTTTAAGCAAACAGTCACACACTTCGTGCTCTTCGACCTCCCAGAACTCCATTCCCGGGCCACATTTTGAATGCCCGGAGCCAACTGTAGGCCACTTCGTGCTCTTCGACTTCCCAGAACTCCATTCCCGGGCCACATTTTGGATGCCCGGAGCCAACTGTAGGCCACTTCGTGCTCTTGGACTTCCCAGAACACAATTTCTGGGCCACATTTTGAATGCCCGGAGCCAACTGTAGGCCACTTCGTGCTCTTCCACTTCCCAGAACTCAACTCCCGGGCCACATTTTGAATGCCCGGAGCCAACTGTACGCCACTTCGTGTTCTTCGAATTCCCAGAACTCCATTCCTGGGCATGATTTTGAATGCCCGGAGCCAACTGTAGGCCACTTCGTGCTTTTCGAGTTCCCAGAACTCCATTCCCGGGCCACATTTTGAATGCCCGGAGCGAATTGTATAGGCCTTTTCGTCGTCTTCGAGTTCCCAAAACTCCGTTCCTGGGAATGATTTTGAATGCCCGGAGCCAACTGTAGGCCACTTCGTGTTCTTCGAGTTCGCAGAACTCCATTCCGGGGCCACATTTTGAATGCTGAGGCAGGCTGATGCTGAGGCTGCGGCAGGCTGAGGCTGAGGCCGAGGCTGAAGGCAGACTGAGACTGAGGCTGAAGCAGGCTGAGGCTGAGGCTGAGGCAGGCTGAGGCTGAGGCTGAGGCAGGCTGAGGCTGAGGCAGGCTGAGGCTGAGGCTGAGGCTGCAGGCTGAGGCTGAGGCAGGCTGAGGCTGAGGCCGAGGCTGAAGGCAGACTGAGGCTGAGGCTGAAGCAGGCTGAGGCTGAGGCTGAGGCAGGCTGAGGCTGAGGCTGAGGCAGGCTGATGCTGAGGCAGGCTGAGGCTGAGGCTGAGGCTGATGCAGGCTGAGGCTGAGGCAGGCTGAGGCTGAGGCCGAGGCTGAAGGCAGACTGAGGCTGAGGCTGAAGCAGGCTGAGGCTGAGGCAGGCAGGCTGAGGCTGAGGCTGAGGCAGGCTGATGCTGAGGCAGGCTGAGGCTGAGGCCGAGGCTGATGCAGGCTGAGGCTGAGGCAGGCTGAGGCTGAGGCCGAGGCTGAAGGCAGACTGATGCTGAGGCTGAAGCAGGCTGAGGCTGAGGCTGAGGCAGGCTGAGGCTGAGGCTGGCTGAGGCAGGCTGAGGCTGAGGCTGAGGCAGGCTGAGGCTGAGGCTGTGACTGCGACTGCCGTTGCCACTGCGACTGTCATCGCGAATGCGACTGCGAGAACAGCAGAATTGTACAACTGGATTATCATCTGAATCTTAAGGGGAATGCTTCCAGATATGCTCCTACACATCGCTGTTAGGTTGCTTTGCCGGGATACTTTTCAGCAAATGGTCAATGCTCCTCGATGGTCCTCGCCGAGGAAAAGACGCACACGTCCGAGCGATGCCAAGGTGCCGCCGCCCAGGGGCCGCGCTGGGCCGGCCCCGACGGGGCGTCGGTGGCGGTGGTCCAGCTTCCTCCTCCTCCTCCTCTGACAGGTGGGGCTTTGCACCAACGAGCCCGAAAATCTGCTCGGCGGCTCGCCGCACGAAAAACTGGAACAGGCGCCTGGCGCCCCCCCCCTCTCGCTTTGCTGACGGGAGCGCGCCCGCGCGAAAGGTGAGGGCGGACGCGAGGGACAACCACCTCCTCCAAGGCGGGCGGGGGGGTGGCACGAGAAGGGGGGGAGAAAGAACCGAGTCCCTCCTCCGCATTCCGTCGCCTCCGTTCTCCCCCCCCGTCCACAATCCCTCCTTGAGAATACTGTTCTCTTTTTTTCCTCTCCTGGGATCCTGTCCGAGCTAGCCCCCTGTTTCTCTCGCATCGCATCTTTCAAACATACAAGATCTCAAAGATGGACCTGGATCTGCCACCGTGCCTTGTTCACGCTGGGGTGTGTTAACATGCTCCACTGGTGTCTGGACATGTTTCTTGGGTGTTTCCTGGGGCCGGCCCCATGCCAGGCCTGCGTACACCCTCCGAAAACCGCTCCCCTCTCCCTAGCAGAGTTTGGGTAGTCTTCCATGTATAATTCAAAAGGAAATGATAAGGAGCGAAAGGATACCCCCAGAGAGGAGTTCATTTGTTTCGTTTTTCGTATTCACCTTGCTCGTCTTGGTCTCGGTCTAAACTCGCCCCTAGACAGCCAGAAAGCCTCCAAGGCGGTCCTCCGACTGTCCGAGAACGCCTCCAGAAGCGCCCAGCTGGCCACAAGATGGCCTCAAGACGGCTCAAGAGGCCCCCAAGATGGCCCAAGAGGGCTGCAGAAGGACGCCAGGTTTTGACATACTGGCTCTTCTGGCTTCCGAAAACCCACGACGCAAGGCCCAAACGGTCCCCAAGACGGCCCAAGGCTTCGAGACGGCCCAAAAACGTCCTCAAGGCGGCCCAAGGGGGCCAATAGACGGCCCAGGAGGGCCCCCAGGCAGCCTCGAGGCCCCCTGAGATGCCCCCCCCCCCCACAGGCCCCAAGAGGGCCCCAAAATGAGGCATCGAGCTGTCATTAGAAGTTGCTCCCCACAGGACTGCATCCAAACCCCCACCATGCCCCCACGAAGCCCATAAGAGGCTCCCGAGACGGCCCCGAGGGGACCAAGAGACTCCCAATGGGCACAGGCCTCTCAAGGGTCCCCCCCTCCCAAACGGACCTCGAAGGCCCCAGATGAGCCCTCAAGGGGTACCAGAGAAGCCCCTGAATGCGTTTTTCGCTCAATCCCTGCAAGCTGCGCTGCTGACCTGGCGCGGTGGACGGCGGTTGCCGCCGCCAACTGGATACGTTCGTTTGTTCGATCGGACATGCTTTGTGCGACACAATAAAGCTCCCACCGCAACGTCGACCTCGTTTTAAGATCGGCGCTCTGCACCCGTCATTGAAGATGGCGCTATCGCCCCAGCGTGGGCCACAATTCTGGACCCGACTGCTTCGCGGTCGCTCCTTACCACTCCTCCGCATTGGTCTGGTCCTCCTGCAACCCTCCCGCTCCTGCCCTCCTCCTTCCTGATCGTCCTCCTGCTCATCCTCCTGCTCCTCCGCCACCTGCTGCTGCGGCTGCTCCTCCGACGCACGCAGCCCCCTATTGTTCACTGCGTAAGCACGAAAAAGCGATGAGAGATCCTTTAAGACTTCCAGGTCCGCCGCCCTGACATCAGTCGTCGGATAGAACAAAATCAGCACAGTGGGAAGAGATGGGTGGAAAGAATCCAATGGGGACGCTCACCAATAAACCGGATGCTTCACGTCGGGATGATATTGGCTTCTTATCTTCTGGTGATGCGCGGTGAGTTCCACCGCTCGTTAAGAGACTTTGGCGCCCAGCCTACCCTGGGTCAGACACCCAAGCCATGGGCAAGACGCTTAGCGGATATTAGGGCTGGGCTTCTTGCAGAATTCTGACGGCCGCATCCCCCTTGTGGGATGTCAGACAGGGCGCGAAGAAAACGCCGTTCTTGTTTTGAACACCGGTTGTGCTTTTAACGTGTAAAACGGAAACGACACTATCCCAAAATAAAACGCCCCGTTTCCTAACTGCCGCTCGCAAGAACGGACACCGAACGGCCACGGGCTGGCGCCTGAAAACAAGAAGGGGGCACGTAAAAACGGCACGCGCAAGTAGCACCCTTCGTATCCTTCGGCCCCCATCCCTCAAGACCCCATCTCGGCACCACCGACCCCCGACCTGACGTAGACCCCGAGAGCAGGAGGCGGTGGACGAGGCCCGCCCAGCTCCCCAGCGGGCGGGAGCGTGGCCACCCGCCGCAGCGCCGCGGCCCCACGGGGCGCGCCCCGTCAGTTCAGGGCCGGCTCCGGCTCCTCCTCGTCCTCGTCCTGCCATGGGGGCACGATGTTTGGCGCCACCCCCGCAAGCAAGCAGGTCCAGCACGAGACTGTGGAGCGGGGGATGTGCACCGAGATGTATGTAATCACCCGGGGACACGATGTTTGCACACCACCCCACAAGCAAGCTGGTCAAATACAGTGTACGCGCGCAGGGTCGGGGGCCACAAATCGGCCCCCGATGCCCGTCATTTGTTTTGCGATGGAAGGCAAGGAACGGGAACGGACACAACAGCGCGATAACAATCTCGGCGACCCAAGTGAGGATCCACGAGGCCGCCTCCCATGCCGTGCCCCCGCCCTGCCACGGGTTACACAGAAGCCTCCCACATGAGGTCGGAGTAGACGCAGTGGGAGAATTGCGACAAATCGCCAGTGTATCGGCGACATCGGCGACGTCGGCGATGCATCGGCGCCGTCGGGGTCTGGCGCTACATCGAGCCGTATCGGCGATGCATCGGCGATGCGGCGCGACCCACCGACCCCATCTACTCGGGCCCTATCAGGGAAGCCCAGAAAGGTTAGGAGAGAAACTCCTGTGAGGTCTTCCTCTGATCTTTCAAAGGCGACCAGGCCCGATTGGAGAACAATGCAACACGATTGGGTCAGATCGAGCCTGAGACCAGGCTGGATTCAGCGGGATTGAAACGGATAGAAGCGGGGTCAAGCCGCATTGAATGAGATATGGCCAGAGTAGGCCCGTTCTTCAACAAGGGAGGTACCTGCGCCTATGCAGAATGAAACGCCCAAAGGGATGCATACTAGCAGGGGAGAAGGACCCAGACTCCCTCGCCACGTGAACAACCACTTTCTCTGAGTCCGCGCGCGCCAAGGTGTGGGAGACGGTCAGGCGCTGGTCATAGCGAGCGGTGGGCTGCACCAGAAACTAACACGGACACAAAACACACGGGCAAGAGACGAGAATCCAAGAGAGAGAAAGACGGAACCCGATCAGACAACGTAGGTCGGCGGGGGGGTGCTGGCGAAGAGCATGCCGCTGCGTACGAGCAGCGGATCACCAGCGCGATGTCGCGAACAAAAACACGACGGACAATGTGTTGCGATTTTCGGCCTCTGGGGGCCCTCGCCCAGGTCCGTCGCAAGAGGACGCAATACGACAAAGCCTCTTCTAGGGGGCAGCGTTTCCGTCGGCCCTCGGAGGCTTTGCAGCCTCAGGATGCCTTCCTCTGGAGATAGGACAAGGGGTGTGGTGCCAATCGTGGAACTGAGGATGCTGTCTTAAGAGCGGTAGCATCGCCACATTCAGCCTTGGCACCACAGCCTGCTTTTTGGCGGCGCGCACACGGGGGTGGGGGGAGGGGGAGGGCTTCTTTTCTTAGAAGCAGGCTGCTTCTTAGAAGGCGCCTGCCTTACATCTATAGATAAGGCCCGCGCCTTCTAAGAAGCAGGGTGCTTCTAAGAAGCCCTCCCCCCTCCCCCCACCCCCCTCTGCGCGTGGCTGAGCTTTGCCACACTCCTTTCCTGCCTCCAGACTTCCAGGAACTCCGCCTCGCCGAGAGCATTCCGGGTGTGTGCCCGGATCATCCCGAACGGTCGCCCGAGAGAGGAGTTATGACCCGACAAAGGGCAGCGGAGCGTCCACAGCTGGCGGGCACTGCCTGGGCGTCAGATAGGGGGCCACATGCGAACCCTACCCCTACCCCCCACGACTACTGAGGGGGAGGGTGGGGTTCACTTCGCTCGGGAGCTCCCGAGCGAAGTGAACCCCACCCTCCCCCTCAGAAATCGTGGGGGGTAGGGGTCCGAAATGGGTACAAAGGAAAGGGTACAATGCCCAACAGCAAATGTTGTCCCAAACCGACAGCGGCCGCTGTTGGGCGGGCGGCCTCCTGTCTCGAATGGACACAGGCCGCGGCGGCGCGGACAGCGAGTCCTGTTCAGAATGAACAGGAATTGTTGTTGGGCATAGTACCCATTCTTTCAGTACCCATTTCGGGCGTCCAGATCAAAGGAAGAGGCGGACAAGTGAGTCCGGGCTTGCGTGAAGTCCACATTTCCTTTGGGGCCTCGCCACGCTCCCTCCGCTCCGCCCTCCGTGTGGGTTCCCTTGCTGGACAAGGGGGCAGAGGCGGCGATAGAGGGACCTCTGAGGTGGCTCCGTGCAGATGAGGTCGGAGGGTCGCACCGCATCGTCGAGGCGTCAACGATGCATCCAACACGTCGGCGAATAACCGTTTTTCTTTCCAACGCTGGGCTTATGGCGATATTGCTTGTGAACGGATCGAGCAAACACGGCACAAACAATTGTCGGAAAACGTGAGCCACACGTTCGGAAACTGCCGACACCTATGTTGCCCCCCATCGTGCTTACGGACAACATCCAAGAAATACTTTCGAGCACCCAGGAACAATATCGAAACAGTGTCGAAAGAGTATCGCCTCCGAAGGCCCGACACGTGAAAACCATCAAATTTCGGTACTTTCTTGGTGCTCGAAATTCTTTCTGGTGAACAAAATAACAAGGCTAAAGTAGGTTGGAACATCATAAACCGAAACCTGCATCGCAATTACCTGCATAGCCGTTAGCCCGTCTACGGTCGTTGAAGTATGGTGACATTACCCTGCATCAGGGGAGCGGGGGAAGGGGCGTGACGAGGCCAGAGAGGAAACCTGGACTTCACGCACGTCGAGACGCACGTGCCGCCGGTTCGGCCCAGCGATGTTTGAGAAGACGGCGGATGAGGGTGAGTGGGGGAGGGGAAGCTAGGTGCGTCGCAACATATCTGACATCGTACCCCTCCAACCCATGCCTTCCCATTGCGTTTGATATTGTGTCTGTCCACGCACGCATGTCATTGCGGATTTGGAATTCCCAAGCAGACCCAATCATGTTATGCGTAACTGGAAAAGAAAAACTGCATACACCTGTATCTATGAGGATGGGTCGGAGGAGGAATGGCGGATGAGCAGGAGAAAGAGCAGGAGGATGAGGAACCGTGAGGACGAGGACGAACAGCAAGGGAGGAGCAGGAGGACAAAAGGAAATCGGATTGAAGAAAAAGGAGGGGGGCAACAACGATGAAGAGCACGGATCCAGAGAAGTGGCCGACGCTGGGGCAAGAACGCCAGTCTGAACGACGGGAGCGAAGCCGCGATCAGCTATGAAGCTCACGCTGCAGCGAGGGTAACATTTTGAAGGGCCGAGAACGCTCGTGTTAGAAAATCTTGCACGAACGAACTCGGCATCATCCTGTGCCGAATGAAGCAATACGCGGAGGGGGGCGGGCGACTCCTTGGCCATCCTCAGGGGAAAGATGAGTAAGGCTCATGTTGAAATATTGTCGAATGCCGTGCAAGCAAACTTGTCTGACTCCGAGAGTAGGCTTCCCTACAGGGGGGTGGGGAGCTGCCCCACAGATCTCTGGCGACGTAATTTGTTCAACCTGGGCAATCGTGAAGTGGCCCTGGGACACACAAATGAATACACACAAATAAAAAGATTCCCCATAGTTTCTGGCTTTTTGTCTTCCCCCCCACTTCCCATATTTTCCCATATTTTCTGGGGAATGGACGATTCATTGTGTCTGTGTGTTCCTTTCCCTCCTGAAATCGTGCCAGATCTTGGCTCCTGGGACCCGTCACCGGGCCCAAGACCCTCGGACCTTGACTGGGACGCAGGCCTGCATCCAGGGACGAGGTCGGGACCCCTGGGGACGTGGACCCCATGGCTCACGTCGGCGGAGGTGTGCGGAGGGGCCCAGAGGAGGCTGAGGCGGAGGAAAGAATGGAGCTAACGTCGGGCGATACAAAGGATGGACAGCTCCTGGGGGCGAATCCGCCGCCGCCGCCGCCTCCGCCGCCGCCGCCGCCGCCCGCCGCCGCCGCCGCCGCGCCGCCGCCGCCACCGCCGCTGTCCGCCGCCGCCGCCGCGCCGCCCGCCGCCGCCGCGCCGCCCGCCGCCGCCGCCGCCGTCGCCCCCGCTGCCGAATCGCCGCCGCCGCCGCGCCGCCGCAGCCGCTGCCGCCACCAATGCCGCCGCCGCCACCGCCGCCGCCGCCGCCGCCGCCATCGCTGCCCCCGCCGCAGCCGCTGCCCCCGCCACAGCCGCCGCAGCCGCCGCCGCCGCCAAGTGGACCCTGTATTGTTTGTTGACAGGGATGGGGGGGGGGGCCGCATCGGGTTCGCTGCGCATGCTCCGAATTCGGAGGCAGAGTGTGTGTTGTATTGTTTTTACAAGAGGCCCCCAAGAGGCCCCCAAGAGACCCCCAAGAGGCTCCCAAGACGCCCGAAGAGGCTCCCAAGAGACCCCCAAGAGGCACCCAGAGGCCCTAAGACGCCCGAAGAGGCCTCCTCCATTGCCAAGAGACCCCCAAGACGCCCCAAGAGGGCTCCAAGACACTCTCGAAAGAAATCCCGAGAGACTACGAGAGGCTTCCAAGAGGCCTGTGGCCTTTCTGCTCGTCATCCTAGTCCGCCTCCTCCTCCTCCTCCTTCTTCTCCTCCTCTTCATCATCCGCCTGGTCCACCTTCTTCCTCGTCCCTCTCCCCCTCCCCCTCTCCCTACTCCTTCTCCTTCTCATCCTCCGCCTCCTCCTCCCCTCTCCCTCCTCCTCCGGTTTCTTCTTCATCCTCACCCTCTTTGGGTACGACATCTTACCCAATTCTCTGGCTCACTGCAATCTAATCCACATCCCTGATCAGGGCAAAACTCGTCTAGGCATCGTTCCTGGACTTTTGACGGGGCCACTCTTGTGATCGCGAGCGCACCGGAGGACGCCGGGCGCCGTCAAAGGTCGCAGCAGGCAAGCCACGAGCTGCCAGGGGAAGGAAAGGAGGCGACGAGAGGACAGCGGGGGGGGGGGAACGAACAGGAGGCGGGCCTCGCTGCCGCTCAGAAGAGGGCGCCGTCGACAGCGAATGGGGTTACTTTTTTCGGTCGCGGCCGCGCGACAACGGTCAGGCGGCGAGAAGACTAATGGGGTTACGCGAAGCGTCTATGATGGACCCAGGCCTCCGGAGGCTGCGATGGTGTCGAAGGATCGCGCCGCATCGTCGATACATCGGCGATGCAAGCAATGCATCGGCGACGTCGCCGTGAGAAAATCTGGCTCCACAGCGAGCCGCAATCGGCGATGCGGCGCGAACCTCCGACCACATGTGCTCAGAGCTTATCTGGGATGCCGAAGGATCTCGTCTTCGGGGGGCCGTTGTCGGGCCCCGGGGCAGTCAGAGCACGACTCAGGAAGTCTTGCCCCAGGAGACGGGGTCGAGAGGTACGCGAGGCCTGAGGCTCGAAAGTGTGAAGTCGTCGAGGTCTGGGGAGGCAGGGGCGGGGGCTCTTATCAGACTTTCATCCTCCCCTCCCTCCCTTCTCCTCCTCTCCCCTTCCCTTCGTTGTCCCCCCTCTCAACCCTCCCTTCGAAGGAAGGGGGGGAAAGAGGAGGAGCAGGAGAACAAAAGAGAAGGTAAGGGCTGGGGGAGATGGGGGGCAAGCTAGGTGCGCAAGCGTCATTTCTGATGTCCTACCCCTCCCTCCCATCCCCTACCATTGCGTAGATCTCCTCTCTAATGCCGAACAGGGCAATAGTTAATCCCGAGAGGGTGCGCGAGAAATGGTATAGCACGGCATAGCATGGCTTCGCGTAGAGAACGCGACTTCTTTCGGCAGCAAGCTCAGAGGGAAGCCAGAAATGACACAGGATGGGGAATCCAAAGAGATGGTTTGGAAAACGCGAAGCGCAAAATGAGATCAACGCTGCAGCGGGAGCACGATTTTGAAGGACCGAAGCCGCAGAAATGAGACTTGCGCTACAGTAGGAGCACGATTTGAAGAGCTGGTTGCGCGGAAACGAAAACAACGCTGCAGCAGGAGCAAGATTTGGAAGAACCGAACCCATGACATGAGGCCAGCGCTATAGCGGGAGCATGATTTGGAAGAGCTGAGAGCGGCACGACGGAGCCAACGCTGTAGCGGGGGTGCCAGTCTGAAAAAATCAAACTTTCGGATTGGAATAAAACATATGAACCATCAACTCGGCGGCACCCTGTGTTAAACATTACGAGGAGGAGGCCAGGACACCTTACCGGCGTCTGCGGGGGCGAGAGGAGAGTAGTATTCACGTCGTGCACCTGTAGAGGGGAACGCGAGGGTGTCGCCGGAGGCGGCAGGGGCAGGCGAACGGGAGTCAGAGGAAGGGGGGGAGGTAGGCGGGTTTTCGGAGGGAGGTGGCGCAGAGGGCGTGGAGACGATTCGCTTCTAACGGAGAGAGGGGCTGCCTTCGTGAGCAGTGCGTTCTGGGGTTCGCGCTCTCCCACCCTTGGCGCACCCTGCTGTCTGTTCGCGCCCCTTTGCAACAAACTTCCCTTCTGGCCCTGTGCAGCACCCGCAGGGCTGGAGAAACCCACTGGCACATAGAACACCATTCGCTGGCCCAACGGGCCGGATGCACGTTGTATTCTTTGGCCAGCGCAGGGACGGAACGAGCGTGAGAATGTGGGACGAAGGGCCATGCGTTCTTACTTGCACTACGTGAGTTGGTCGGGCGAAGCACGCGGGAACACTCGAACACAACATGAGGGGCTTGCAATGGCTTGCCGGCCTGGCACACTGAGCCGCACTCAATGGACACAGCTCGCCCCGTCGCACCCCGTTCTAACTGCCCCCTGCCACTGCCCCTCGCTTTGGTTCCGCCAGCCTTCCGCCAACTGCTGCCGCAGGCGAGATGTCGACTTACCGATCCTTCGACGGTGATGCCTTTACAGGACCGCCTTACAAGTAGATCCGACGGGCCCTGCAGGGTAACCCTCTGTCGCGCTTTGTTCGATCCTCCTCCTTCCTCCAGGCGAGCGAAACCGATGCCCCCGACAAGAAGAGCTTGCTACGCTTTCTGGCGGCCCCGAGGTCCCCACAAGGGCACCCAGATGCAATATCATGCAAACAAAGCGTCGGCCTTGACGTTTCCACGACGCGAGGGGCATGGGTCTTCCTCGACCCCCCTCCTCCCCCCCCGTCCGCTGGACCTCTCCAGGGTTGCGTGTCGGCGAGGTTCGGAAGCAAGCCGGCCGTGGCGACGAGAAGCCTCCCAGAGGCTGCCAAAGTGAACCAAAAACGTGCGGGGAAACCCGATCCTCGAGGGGGGCCCGGGCCCTATTCGCTGCAGGAGGAGGAGGAGGAGGAGGAGGAGGAGGAGGAGGGGAAGGAGGAGGAGGAGGAGGAGGGGCAGCAGGAGGAGGAGGAGGAGGAGGAGGAGGAGGAGGAGGAGCGACGAGAGCGCCAACGGCGCTGTCCAGGGGGCGCCTCCCCAGACCTCCGACGAAAAATCAGCTCTCCAAGGCTCCTCGGGCCCTCCGACCCTCGGCCCGACTCGTGGGTGGACGCTCCCCGGGCCCGAAAAACGGCAGCCAGGAGCAAGCAATACAGCATTTCTGCATGCTTTCTGGCTTCGAGCCTCTGGACGAGGCCTGGGGCCCGACCTCTTCGGGTCGAGCCCCAGACTCTGGCCGTCGCTCGGACGTCCATCCCCCGTGCTTTTGTCGGTTTCGTGCGCGGTTTTCTTCGCCAAATGACCAAGGATGCTCCTCGACGGCCCTCGCCGGAGGAAAAAGGCACACGTCCGAGCGATGCCAAGGACTTGGTCAAGGCTGCGTCCTGGCCAGAGCTTCAGGGAGAGCCCAGCTGTGGCCGCCCACGCTCGAGACGTCCCCTGGCCCCAGCTCGGGGAGGCACCGTGGACCTCCTCGCCGAAGACGACACCACTGGCGGTGCTGGCGTCGCTGTTTCCCCCCCCCACACACACCTTACTCCCCGGACCTCTCCAGGGATGCGTTCTGACCAGAACTTCCCAGGAGGCCCAAAAACGGCGAAAACGAGAGACACGCAGCGGCATGAGTACCTTCTATTCCTCCAACGATGCGTCCTTCGCGCTCATGATGTGGCGGCTGGCCAAGCCGAAGGCGCGCTGAGCGTCCATGTCCGACGTCACCTGATGGGCATGCTTTCCACCACCATTACCATCAGTTGGAATGGGAAGGAGGTGGAAGGAGGAGGAGGAGGTGGAGGACGAGGAAGAGGAGGACGAAGAGGAGGAGGAGGAGGACGACGAAGCGGAGGAGGAGGTGGAGGAGGAGGAGGAGGACCCCCTCCCCCTCCAACTTCTGGTGGTGGTGGTGAAACACAGGCCCATCATCACCTGCCCCAGCACCGTGGCCGCGAGCGGCCACGGGCGTGGCCCGCGTCACAGGCCCCACCTCCCAGGCAGCCCCCCCGCCCTGGCAGACCCCAGGAGGCCTCCGAGGGGCCTCACCTCGCATCGGGGGGGACGAAAGGGGGGGAATTCGGGGATGGACAGACCACCCTTTAGTAAAACGCGGCTTAGTGAAAACGACCTGAGGCCCAAACCTGGCGGGCGCAAGCCGGGAGAATGACGGCCGCGGCGCCCTCTCGAGAACCGCAAACGGACAATTCACTCACCGACGTGTCACTGTGGGGGGTTCTGCCCACCCCCGAGGAATAGCAAAGGGCAGGGTAGAGAGAGTCAGCTCACGCAGCCGATCATCCCAGCGCCTCCCGGCGCCGGGAGGCGCCCGCGCGTCGTGGAATGGGCCCGGCGGCGGGGCCGAAACCAGCTGCATGCAGCAGATTTCGCAACCCCCGCCTCCTGCCATCGCTCGGACGTCCATTCCCCGTGTTTTTTTTCGGTTTCGTGCGCGGCTTTCTCGCCAAATGATCGAGGATGCTCCTCGATGGCCCTCGCCGAAGGAAAAAACGCACACGTTCGAGCGATGCCAAGGCCTGCCCCGGTCCCCCGCCCCCCTTCCGTTCGGCCCGCTCGGGGGAGGGCCCGTCGAGACGACGGCGCCCCCCCCCCCCCCCTGGCCTCAGGTCGGGCCTGTCCCCCTCCAGGGGGATTTTGGGCGAACACTTGCAAATACTGACACAATGCCCCAAGAATGTGCAACAAAAATGTCAAAGAGTGGTCTCCCCAGACTATTGTTTGACTATCTTTGAGTATCCCTCCTGTAGAGGACCAAGCCCGACTTAACCCTGGCCCATTTCCATCCTTCCTGGGCTTCTCGTCGCAAGGGCCAGGATGGACATCGGGAGGAGCCCAAGTATAGATCTTGAGCGGACCTGGGCTGAACGGGGGAGCCGTCGTTGTCTCCGCTGGCCCTTTTAAACAACGATGCTCAGCGCCTGTGGGGGATACAGTCGGGGCGTTGACCTAAGGAACCCTAAATAAGGAACGAGGCCCCTCGTTTCCATGAGTTAATTTACGAATTCCCATACACAAACCTAAGGGGAACCCGAGGCAAACTGTAAAACAATCAAGGAACACCGAGCCCCTCCCCAACGAAAAGCGTTCCTTCTTCAGGGCCCCGACTGTAGCCTGTTTCGATCAACTGGTCCACATTTGGTCCATCCGGCTGGTCGAGCTCAAGAGGACCAACAAAAACTGGTGGCGTCGCGGGCCGGACGGGTGGGCTGCTGTGCAGGCTGGCAGGAGCCCGATCACAAGGGGGTTGGGCACGGGGTGGTGACGAGAGGCATTCCTCCATCATCCCCCCTTCCTCACTGCCCCATCCCCTTCGCGCCCGCTCTTCCCCTATGCATACGGCGCACCGCCATATTCTGCGCTGTTTGACGCTCAACATGTGGGGCCGCGACCACGTCTCCACTCTCTCGGCTGTTGCCAGCAAAGGTGTTCCTGACAGAAGGTGATCCCATGATGACCTGCGAGGCCCCATTTCGGCCTTCAGGGCACCCATCATAGTGCCCAAACCGCCCCAGGGGGCCCCACAACAGCGCGGAAAACTGGTGACACCGTGGGTCATGGACACGTTCGACAACATCTTCGGCCGCCCGAAATGGGTACGGAAAACATGGGTACGTACGGCGCCCAACAACCGTTGCCCAGAACACAGGGCGGCCGGTGTTGGGCGGGCGGCCTCCTGTCTCAAAGGGACAGCATCTGCGGCGAAGCCGGCAGCGCATCCTGTTCGAAATGGACAGCGCATCGCCGGTTGGTCCTCGGAGCCATGCTTTCTGTGATCCGTGTCGATCGTGCCGACCCGGGGACGGACAGACCTCCCTTCAGTAACACGTGGTCTAGTGAAAACGACCTCGGGCCTGAACCTGGCGGGCGCGAGCCTGGAAAGTGACGGCCGCGGCGTCCTCTCGAGAACCGAGAACGGACAATTCACTGATCGACGCGTCAGGGTCGGAGGTCTGCCCACCCCCGACCGAACCTCTGGCGCTCGGGGGAGCTCTGAGCCCCACCCGGGGCGGCCTTGATGAAGGTCTTCATCTCCTCGGGGCGGGGAGGCCCGCAGAGGGCCGCGCCCTCATCCCAGAGCCTGCTGCTGCTCGACGCCTCGTGTAGGATTGTGGCTGCCACGACAATGGACACACTGACAGTCCTGTCCTTGAGTTTAGAATGTGCTCACAGTGTAAGAAACATATAATCATGTTTAGGACATGTGTTTAACACATGTTTAACACAGTGTAGGAAACATATACACATGTGTTCAAACATGTTTGACACGTGTTTAGCACATGTCTTAGTCCTCTGGGAGCGAAATGGCAACATGCTTCCTCTCCACTGGTCGTCCTCCACAGGTGCAGGAGGGCCCAGGGGCACACGAAGAAGCAGACACGAGGAGCTTTTGCGCGGCAGGCGTGGGGGGGGGGTCGCTGCGGGCAATACTTATGTCCATATCCACTGCAGTATGGAGTTTCGAGCTCCCTTCCCAAGAAACCCGAGGCGCACTGGATATGGATGAATTTGCCCCCCTAGAGGCTCGATTTTTATCCATATCCAGTGCGCCTCGGCCGTGTGGCGCCGCTTCCAAAACAGTCCAAGAGGCACTGGATATGGACATGAATCGTGCCCGCAGTCGCCAACTCCTCGAGGATGGGCGAGCGCGCTCCACGACTCGCAAGGTAGCTGCTCGCAGATGGTCTGGAGCCGCCGCGGGGGCTCTACGTCTACGATACACTCCATCGGAGCAGGCGTGTGCTTTTTTTTTGCTGGACGTCTGCGAGGAGCATGCACTCTGCGATTCGTGGAACGCGCTCGGCGAGAGGAGGCGCCGCCCCCCCCCCCCCGGACACGCCCGAGGCCCCGGAGTCGCCCCCAGAGCGTCCCAAACATCCTCGATCCTAGGGAGGCAACAACTGGTCGGAAGGGTTGAGGAGGAGTATGCAACGCATAAGCCCCACTGGGGGGCTGCTGCGCCAAATGAGGCCGCGGATGCAGCCGAATGAACCCAGATCCAACGGCATGCAGCTGGATCCAGCAGGCGTCCACTGGAGTTCGGACCAGGGCAGAGTCAGAATTGGACCTCGGGGGAGCTGCATCCGAATCCTGGCGGCGCGCACAAGGGGCTGGAGGAAGGGGAGAGGGCTTCTCCGAAGCAGGCTGCTTCTTGGAAGGCGCCAGCCTTACATCTATAGACAAGGCCAGCGCCTTCTAAGAAGCAAGGGTGGTTCTAAGAAGCCCTCCCCCTCCCCCCCCCTCTGCGCGTTGCTGAGAATCCCTCCTCCTCGACCCTCGATCTCCGGGAGGAGGCGGCCCCCAATATGCTCCCGACCCCCCCGTGGCATGGTCCGCTTACCCGCCCCAGGGCCATCAGACACTGCCCAGGAAGACAAGAGCAGAGGCCTGCGTCGGACCCTCCCGCATCCTCTCTGCTCCCTCCTCCTCCTCCTCCTCCTCCTCCTCCTCCTCCTCCTCCTCCTCCTCCTCCCGAGGATGAGGCATCTGCATGAGAGTAAACGTTTGAAGTCCGCGCGGGTTCCGCGGATTGGTGCTGGACTCCCCTCGCTGGCGCGCGCAGCGCGCCATGGGCGGCACCGGAGCAGAACAGATCCCACCGGCCATCAGGGCGCAGGTCGATTAGCGCGATCCCTACTCCACCCCTCCCTCTTCCCTTTCGGGGAGAGGTTTACCCCTCCCCCTTGCCCCCTCCCCTGGACCTGGATGGGGGCGTTTCGAAATGGTTTGGAGGGTCCAAGATGGCTCCAAGACGGCCGGAGAGACCCAAAGCTGACTTCCAAGATGGCTCAATATGGCCCAAGATGGCTCAAGATGATTTTCAATATGCTTCAAGAAGCCAAAATGTCGCTCCAAGACGGCCCCAAGTGGCCACAGAACCTCTCCAAGAGGCCGCCAAGAGGCAAACATCTTTCAAAACCTAGCACTGATAACTGAGCATTCCCGTACATGTGCACCGTCTAGGGTGCTTACTGTGCGGCACTGGAGCGCCGGAGTTCTAGAAAGGTCGCGTGGTTCCAGTACCCTCTCGCCGTTTTGCTTTCGATGGCCTTCCGAGGCGTCAAGATGGCCCCAAAGAGGGCCCAAGAGAGGCCCAAGAGAGCTCCAAAAGGGCCCTAAGAACGCCCAGGGGCGCTCCCAGAGCGCCCCAAGATCGGCGCAAAATGCGATTTGAGGCGCTCCCAAATGGGGGCCCCAATTGGAGCTCCCCCCTTCACTGATCGATCTCCTCCAAGATGGCCCCTACGAGCGCCCTTAAGGCTCCCAGGAGCGCCTCAACAAGGCCCCACGAAGCGCCCTGGAGGCCCCAAGAGGCGCCCCAAAGGCACCCAAGAGGCAGGCGCCCGACAGACCCCCATGAGGGCCGAAGAGGCCCCCCGAGGCACCCAAGACGCTCAAAGACGCACCCGGGGCCGCCAAGAGGCCCCCTCGCCGATCCAAAACGCCTCCACAAGGCACCCAGGAGACACCCGAACAGACTTGGACAGGCAACTCGCCTGGGCATCGTTTCTAAATGGGCGGGGGGTGGGGATACGTTTTTTGGTACGCTGGCGCGCGAAGCCAAGTCGAACGCCGAGCACGCTAAGGCGGGCCGCGCCACAACGAATGAGAAAAACAACGAAGTGAACAACGCCCGCCACGGAGCGGAGCAGGGCGAGGCGCTGCCAGGCTGGTGCGGGTACTTTTTGGTTTGCGGGCTCGCGAAGCAGGCCGAAAACCGTCCGAACACTAGTCGGGACGCGACTAGGCAACAAGACGAGAGAGGCAAGCGAACCGAACGCGCGGGCAGCCACTCAGAAAAAGGGCCAGAAAAAAAAAAACTCCCAACCCGGTGGCGTGGAGATCCCGGTGGCGACCAGCAAGTAAAAGTAAGCGCAGCCAAAATGGCGCGGCGGCGCGACCATAAACACGCAAAGGTCAATCACCCGGTGTGAGTCGGCACAAGGCACGGTCAGAGACGAGCAGGACCGACACGCACACCCGGACGACGTCTGTGCCGTGGGCGACACAACTGCATCGCGCCAGCGCAAAAGTGAAGAGGGGCAACCTCGTCACAGAAAGGACTGCAAACGGCAACACCTCTTGTTTGCACAGCAGTGGCACATGTCGAAAGCGAAGCCCTCGCAGGAGAAACAGCCGGCGGGCGCACCGACCCACACATGCCGAAGGCCTGGCACCGTGGAGGTCGGCAGCGTGCGAGACCCCACTGAACGGTTGCGGTCACCAGTGGAGGCCGACACCAGCCAGGAGCAGGCCAGGGGCCACCTGACCTCCCATTCCCAATGTGATCCATGCATGGAATTCGTACCGAGGCCCCACTGGACCCTCCGGTCACCAGTGGAGGCCGACACCTGCCAGGAGCAGGCCAGGGGCCACCTGACCGCCCATTTCCAGTGTGGTCCTTGCATGGAATTCAGGCTGTCAGAGCACCATCAGACAGCAGTATTGGCGGCAACCCCAGCCGCGCGGAATAAACACGGTAAAACAAAGGAAGGGAGGGGAAGTGCACGCCAGGCGCGGTAGGCACCCCGGTATGGCAGCTAACCGCTGCAGCATTCGTATGCAAGAGGGGAGGAAAGGAAGTGCACGCCGGGCACACGGTGGTGCGGATACGCGAAGCGGCAAGACTTACAACAATGGTGGGCACACACCTGGACACAGCAAGTCCGCCGTCACTTTGCATTGGTTTTTGACAGGGACGGTAAGAGGGTCGACATAATGCCTAATGTGGCGCTCCTGGTGCAGCTGGCATGTGCGGCGCACCTCGCGGGCTTTCCTCACCTGGCTGGCGTCTGCATTGGTTCCCGATGGCGGCCCCTGTCCATGCTGAGACTCGAGTGCTGCTGACGTGTTGGAAGGGCGGGTGGGAATGAACCAGACGGCTTATTGTGTGTGAGTAGCTTGACCCTTCTACCTACCTCTTCCCCCTAGTCAGAAGAGCGCACAGAAGCTCTCCGAGCTCTCCAGATGATGCAACGTCTCCCTGGGCATCGTTCCTGGGCGGACTGTTGCGGATGCGCAAATTGTTGAGACTGGTGAGGTTGTCTCCAGCGAAACCGCACGCAAACCAGGCCCCACACCAGGAACATCGCCAGGACGTATCAAGCGAACACGCACCCAAACCAAGACCAAGCCAAACCAGTCAAGCTGCGAGGACGTCTCAAGGAAACCGCGCCGAAACCAGGACACATCAGGCTAATTGTGAATGCGTGTCAAGGGGAAACCGCGCCGAAAACATGTCAATCCAGGAACATTGAGAGGACGTATCAAGCGAGGCTGGCCCAACATCGGACCAAACCAGGGCCCAAACCAGGAAAGGTCTGAGGATGTCTAAGGCGGGGCGCCCTGCAAAAACAGGCCAGACCAAGCCGAAGCGGAGGCCAAACCAAGATCCATCCACTCCCTTCGAACGCCCAAGGGGCTCCCGCGTGCATTTGCCTTTCAGCCGTTGTTCGGGCCTCGGTGTTGCGGTCGGATTAATGTTCCCCAGCCTGTCGGAGAGGGGTTATGGAAAAGCTGGTGAAGAAAGACAAGCCGAACGAAGTGGACAAGAAAGATGATCCGGAATGAAAAGAATCGGAGTATGCCAAACACGCCCGAAATCGTTACGGAGAAACTTGGTACCGTGCCAAACAATACATGCTGTCCCAAACTGGGGCATCGGCCACAATTGTCAGGCGATGTGTCGTCTCGAGTCCACATCATCCGCAGCGACACCGACAGCGAGCCCTTCTCAAGATGGACAGACACTGGTGTCGGTCGTCGTTCCCATTCTCGGCGGCGCGCCGAGGGGGGACATGAGAGGGGCAAGCCTTCTCAGAAGGCGGCGGGGCTTCTCAGAATTCCTCCGGCCTTCTCAGAAGCCGCCGGCGTCTTCGGAACTGCCTCGGCAAGCTTCTCAGAAGGCCAGATGCCCGCCGAGCCTTCTGGAAAGGCCCCTCCCCCTCTCGCCTCCCCCCTGGGGCGCGCTGCCGACGCCCTTGCGTCTGAAGGGGCCCTGGGACGCACAAATAAATACGCACAAATAAAAGGATCCCCCATATTTTCAAATATTTTCTGGGTTTCTGTCTTCCCCCCAACCTCCAATATTTTCCCATATTTTCCTGGGAATCGAAGATTAATTATGTCTGTGTTTCTTTCCCCCCTCAGCGTCCTTCTCCTGCTCGTCCATGTCGTCGACTACGACGGGTATGGAGTACTCGCCCTTGACGAGGCGCACCGTGGGACCTCGGAGGCCGGCGCCCCTCCCTGCGCCTGCCCTCCCCTCAAAAGGCACCTCTGCTCGTCTCCCCCGCCCTCCGCGCGCTCCCCCTCTCCCCCCCCTTTCCCTCCCCGCTTTACCTGATTACAGACGGGGCGTTGACCTAAGGAGCCCCAAGTAAGGAGCGAGGCCCCTCTTTTCCACAAGTTAGACTTCGGTTTCCCATCGAAAACATAAGGGAACCCTGAGGCAAGCTGTGAAACAATTAAGGAACACGGAGCCCCTCCACAACGAAAAGGGTTCCTTCTCCAGCGCACCGACTGTACCCCAAATCCTCCCTCCACCACTCACACCCTCCCTTTCTCCCTCCCCCCCTGGAGCCCTCGGGAGATCTCCAGGGGCAACACCGTCTGGATCTCTGGCGATGCCCCTGGAGGCATCAGGAACAAAACATAAAAGTCCGCCGACCCTTCGACGTGTGAGAGACGCTGTCGTCGTCGTCGTCGTCGTCGTCGTCACCGTCAGTCCCAAAGAGATCCCCTCCCTTTCACCTTCCCTGTCGGGGGGATGGGGGGATGGGGATGGGGATGGGAGGAGGGAGGAGGGAGGAGGAGAAGGAGGAGGGGAGGAGGAGGAGGAGGAGGAGGAGGAGGAGGAGGAGGAGGGAGGAGGAGGAGGAGGAGGAGGGAGGAGGAGGAGGAGGGGGCCGCGGGGGAGTGGTGGGGGTGGGGGGGTCCGGGTCAGACTACCGCCCCCCTCCCCCCAGGGTCCCAGCGGGGAGTCCCAGGGGGGATCGCTGGCAGGAGTCCCGGGGTTGGTCTCGCCTTCGGGGTCGGCGGCACCAGGCGTGAGGCCCTCACAATAAGAGAAATACCCTGATCCTATCCACGGTCGGGGTCTTCGGGCAAAGAAAATCGTTTGAAATCTGTTCCCCTGATCTTTCTGAGGCTCAATCCTGGCAAGTGCTCCATCCCTGATTATCCATGTTAGACGACCCTCGTGAACGAAACAAACCTCCTACGGCCGAATCTACCGAAGAACCAATCTGAACGTTTTCCTCCCCCTCCTCCTCCCTCCCCTATGCGCCGCCCTCCTCTGCGCTTATCCTTGTGCCGCTCTCGACTCCCAGCCCCCTGCGCATTCACCTCCCCTGCTCTCTTGTTCTTGGGCGGGGCGCTGTCCCCTGGCGTCCCTAGCCACATCACCGCAACTGGAGCGAGTGCTTCGACCCAGTTGGCGCAAATCTGGCCAGCTCGTGCCACACAGAAGACGAGCGAGCAGCAGCCTACCTGGAGGCATCCCACCAGCCCGTTGTGGCGCGAGTCGTTTCAGGAGTTTCCTCCTCCATCCCCCTTCTTCCCCTTCGGGGAGGGGTGTACAGACGGCTTGCTATCTAGGGAGGTGTCTTAACCCCTTCCCCTACCAACTCCCCCTGGACCTGGACGAAGCGTTCGGCGAAGCGTCGGAGCGTCCAAACGGCCTCGGCGAGAAGGAAGACGCAAACCACTGGTTCTATATATATATATATATATAATTGTGGCTCGGTGTTGGCGCCCTGGGGAGGGGGGCGAATTGACCCCCGACCCTTCTTCGATCGATCACCTCCAAGATGGCCACACGATGGCCACCGAGGCTCCCAAGAGTGCCCGAGACAAGAGGCACCCAAGATGTCGCCAAGGCACTGGCCGGTTTCGCCCTGCTGGTTTCGCCGGGGCTGGTTTCGCCGGCGCTGGTTTCGCCCGACGCTGGTTTCGCCGGCGCTGGTTTCGTTTTGGTGGTTTGGCACACTGGTTTCGCCAGGGCTGGTCTCGCCGAGTCCGCTGCCGCCGCCGTCGCTGGCGTCGTCGCCGTCGCCGTCGTCGTCCTCCTCCTCCTCCTCCTCCTCCTCCTCTTCCTGCTCTTCCTCCCCCCCCTCCTCGCTCCTCCACGCTACTCCTCCTCCTCCTCCTCCCCCTCCTCCTCCTCCTGGCCCTCCTCTTCCTCCTCCTCTTCCTCCTCGTCCTCGTCCTCGTCCTCGTCCTCGTCCTCCTCCCCCTCCTCGCTCCTCGCTCCTCGCTCCTCGCTCCTCGCTCCTCGCTCCTCCTCTCCTCCTCCTCCTCCTCACCGCATTCCTCAGGCCAGGCTGGGCGAGATGCAGAATCGCCTGGCCGATCTGGGCTGGCACGGGGCCTGGACGGCTGGCTTAGACACGGACGCGCAGTGCACAAGCAGTGGCGCCGCGGTGCTGGTCCCGTCGTTCGTGTCCCTCACCACGGCCCCTGGCCTAGCCGACGGGACCTTGGTTCCTGGCCGTGCAGCCGCTGCTCGGGTCCACTGGGGCATCCCGCAGGGCATAGTCTGCATCAGCCTTTATTATGTTGACTCTGTGGGCTTTGCGGGGCCCAACTTGGAGGTGCTGTGGAAGGTTTTAGAGTACTGCTGCCAGCTCAACGCCCGGGGCGAGGACTTCGTCATCATGGGCGATTGGAATATGGCCTCCGACGTGGAGGGGCTTCGTGACGCGCTGCTGTCGGTTCGTGCCATCCCCTTTGTCCCAGAGGACGCTACCTGCGTGCAGGGGGAGGGCTCCATCATCGACTTTATGGCAATGTCGTCGAACTTGGTGCCCAGGCTCGATCGCCAAGTGACCGTGCAGCTCGACTCCGACTTAGACCCGCATCGCCCCGTGCACTTGCGGATGCGGGGTTCTGATCACCCAGCCTGGTGCAGGGTGGCCGACGAGCCCAAGCCGTTCTCGGCGCTTCCCCCTCCTGGGTGTGCCAGGCCGCCCTATGACTGGGGGCCCCTTACGGCGGAGGCCAAGGTTGTCACGGAGTCCGACGGGCTGGTCCAGCTGTGGGACGCCGTCCTGCACGGCGTCGACGCCGAGCTCTGCGCGCGCTGGGACAAGGTCGGGCCCCAGGCTAAGGCTCATTCGGGACGTGCGGGGACTATCCAGGTGCGGCGGCAACTTCTGCGATGGCGGCCACGGCGACGACGACGCTATCGCGACGGGTCAGTTCGACCATGGGTCTTGGCCAGGAGGTGGATGACTCACCTCCAGGCCGTTCGGCAGCGGCTGCAGGAGCAACTCGGCGGCCTGAAGCTGGCGGCGGCCATGTGCGATCTGATGCCCTGCCAGCTGGAGGGGGATGTGCAGCCCTACGCGGTGGCCGACGCGGAGGACGTCTGGTCCCACCACGGCGCGGCGTGGTTGCCCAGGCCGGCCGATTTCGACCGGTGGGAGCTGCTGCCGCCGACCACCCTCCAGGACATGCGCGCGGCTACCTGGAGCTACTCGGGCACCGCCGCCCGTGGCCCCACCCGCCTGGCGCCCAAGTCCCTCTACTTTGTGTCGGACGAGGGTCTGCAGGCGATCGCGCGGCTCCTGGAGGCTTGCGAGAGGTTGGGCACGTGGCCCGACGGTCGCGTGGAGACGGAGCTCGTGCAGTTGAGCAAGGCGGACGGGGGCACTGACGCGCGCGCGGGGGAAGCTGCGCCGCCCCCTGGGGCAGCGGTGGGAGGAGACCCACGCGGCCCCTTGGGTTTGGGGCAATCGCTCCCGCTTCACCTCCAGCGACTCTGCGTTCGACCTGAACCTGGAGCAGGAGGTGGCCACCCTGAACCTGGAGCGACATGGCCAAGTGCTTCGAGCTCGTGGACAGCAGCCAGCTTCTCTTGGAGGCTAGGGAGTGCCACTTCCCCCTGCGGCTGGTGTGGATGATGATCGAGCTTTACCACCATCCTCGCAGAGTTCGGGTAGGGCCCAGCCTGTCGTTGGCCATACTGGTCTTCCAGGGCGTGCTGGCGGGGTGCACTCGCGCTCCCACGGCGCTGCTGGTGCTGACTCACCGCGCGATGGCGAGGCTCAGCAAGATGTGCCCCAACGTGCGGCCCCGGCAGCTTATGGACGACATTACTCTGCATTTCGTGGGGCCTCGTGAGGCGGAGGCTAGTCAGCTCAAGGTGGCCGCCGTCGAGCTGACGCGCTGCGTGCAGGCCCTCGGCATGCGGGTCAAGCAAGCCAAGTCGGGCTTGATCTTCAACCGCGCGCGCTTCGCGCACCGCTTCCGGGCGCGGGCGCTGCAGATTGGCTTGCGCCCGAGGCGGGCGATACGCAACCTCGGCCACGAGCACCATGGGCCGAGGGTGTTCCGGCGTCAGGAGGCGGCTCGCGTGGCAGCTCTCTCTGCGAGGGGCCGCCGACTCGCCATGTTGTCCCGCGGAGCGGGGCGCAAGGCGGCGCAGCTGTGGCGCACTGGCCTGGCCCCGTCGGTCACCCACGGCGAGGGCGTCAGCGGCATGGCGGACCATCGGCTTCGTTTTCTCCGACATACTGGGGCCACTCTGAACGGGCGGAAGCCTGGTTCTGGATGCACGGCCTACTTGCTGACGCATCCGAGCCCGCAGTACGACCCGATATACGACGTCTCGGTGCCGTTGATTTTGCGGTACGCTGGTTGGTTGTGGGACGGCCGCGCCTCTGGCGCGAGGCTGCAGAGGGCCTGGGACGTGGCCCACGCCAAACTCGAGTCCACCACCTTCGGGAAGGCGCGCGGGCCCCTCACATCCACCTGGCTGTCGCTGCAGAGGCTGGGCTGGGAGATGCTCTCTTCGGCCCACGTGAGGTCCGACACGAGCGAGGTGCACTCGCTCTTGCGCGTGCCGCCAGAGGACCTGCGCCACCATTTGATGAGGTCCATCGAGCGGTGGCAGGCGCAGAGGCTGCTTGGGCACATGCACCTGGCCTCGGGCACCGAGCAGGTGTGGGTCCGAGGCATTCGCCTAGGCTTGCGGGCGCTGCCGCCGAGGCAGCTGGGCGCGCTGCAGATGCTGTGGTCTGGCCGCTACCTGACTCCTGAGAGGCGGGCAGCAGTGGGCGGCTACAGCAAACTGCATTGCCGGGCGTGCGGGGCCGAGTACGGCAACTACGGGCACATCTGGCTGGGCTGCCCGAAGCTGCTGGAGGTGCCGCCTGGGAGTTCTCTCCCCCCGCTGCCTGAGGCCCTCGGGGCCACGAGAGCCATGCTGGCAGAGCTCGGCTCGA